TTGACATTAAGGCCTGATCTGGCTTCCATTGACAGAAATGACAGAGCTTTCCTGATAGCAAGACTGGCAACAAAATTGAAAAGTCACTGTTGCTGCATTAATGCCAAGGGATTTAGGGATTTTCTCAAGCACTTTATCGTTATGTTCCCAGCTTTGCCTCTGTTTCACTGTTGATGGTCTTCCGGTCTTGCTAATCGTCCCTGGGTTTTCTGGAGTTCCATCTTCGCTTCCCTCTAACAGATAAAAATTTACTGTTGCTAGCTTTAATGTTCTTGACATACTGAGATCCCAGTCCTTTCACATTAACATAGGCATGTTTTGGTGTTTTCTTTTAGTCTTGCATTATTTAAAGATAATCCATTCAACCTATTATTCTGTTTAGCAACCTAACATCTGAGCTTTTAATTATTCCAGCCTCTCTACTTCATTCGTTAAACTTGTTCATCACTTTGAAAATAGAAAATATTAAATACTTTCACAACATGATTATTTTATATTTTCTGAACAATTAGCATTAGGATGTTTTTGACCTTCTCTTTGCCTCTGATGATACAGTAATATCCCTTGTCACCTCCCTCCAGAAACCAAAGATGGTGGACCAAAGCCATCCCTGGAGTAACTTCTTTAACATCATTAGAGTTCTGTCAGGGATAGATTTAGCTCTCTGCTACTTACCATTGTCTTCACCTCAGCTTTCCCCACTTTTACAGTCCTCTTTCTGCTATGGATCCTTTTCAAGTGGCTGTTTAAATGGAACCATGTAAGACTTATGCATAGCACTGTTAATGTGTTTATCTGCAGTAGAAGCCACGGCATACGCCACGAAGGTATTTATGATGCACTTACTCTGATTTATGCAGTGGGAGATTAAAATTCAGTGAACGTTGGTTGATTATAACTACAGAATTATGTCTTCTATCCAGTAATAGAAAATGTGGAAATGGCTGTCCTGTGTAGGTCTTTGTTACAGGAAGAAGGACAGGCAGTTACCTCGATATCACTGAAGCTGTGTAAATATTCACACTGAAAAACCAAATTAAAAAAAAAAAAACTTAATCTTTTTTTCTAAGGCAACTTACCTGCAAAAAGATTTAGATTATTCAAAACTAGTCAAAGAATAGTCAGACAGTGTATTTAATCTTAAGAATTGCAAATTATTCTCCATGACTATTGCTTTTAAATGTTAGCTCTTATCATTACTGCTTGTTATTTACCACTTAAAAGTCACCAAGTATTGTTTCCTTATCACTGACTGGGTAACTCCCAAACCCACAAAGACTCATTGCTGTAGTAAGTCATTTTTTTCTGAGGCTGATTTATGCAAAAAGAGAGTTGAGTGAATACTTACAACAATGCTCTTTTTAACACATTCATTCATATAACTCTCATCTGTGAACATGTGAAAGACGAGTATATGGCTGAAGCAAATAAATGTTGTATGCATGTTTATAATACTCAGCAAAGTCATACACAATTGTTGCAAGAGGTCTCAGTGAGAGAAACATTTGAAGACTCGGGGTTTCTAGTGTATGATAATTTTGAGACGTGGAAAAATTATGATAGCAGTAGAAATGGAGAAATGGGGGGGGGTTCCGATTTTTTCAGTAACACTTTTGAGAAATTTTTTCTAATATAATTTTCAGTCTTCTCCTCAGCTTTGGTAATAAATATCCCCTGAGGACAGCAAACATGAATCTATTGAGAATCTTGAATGAGGGATTTTAATGATTTCATTTAAAGTGCTGTTCGTTCAGTTCCTGCAATCTGTCTGCCTCTTTCTTCAATTCTTGATGTTTTTACTCAAAGAAATCTCGCTTCCAATTAAGTGAATGAACCTTAGGATTGAGTAAGGCTGTCATAGGAAGTAAAATGAATATGACTGATTTTTATAATATAACTTGGAAGCAATTACCAGTTTTCTATCTTCATGCGTGCTTGGAAAATTTACACTTAACCCAGCAATACACCTTAATTAAAGGTCTATCTGTCTATATATATAACCTTCTCTTGCTAGCCAAAGTCCTTCTGTGAGCTGTATTAAATTTACTATGGCTTCATCTCTTTATTAATAACCTTTTTGTGTATTTTCAATTAAGTTTCTGGTCACATTATAGCATTGAGGTAAGGGCTCTTGCTGACCTTTAATAGGATATGGATAATAGAACATCTTTGGCTCATGTCCTCTTTTGGTAGCACAGCCTCTCGCTTTTACTGAAGTCATCCATGAAATTTGTAGTCTGCTAAGTGTGGATTTTGCAGTAAAGAAGACTACACCAGACTACATTAGAACTGGACGGAGGTAAATTTGCAGTCTCTGATATTAGACAGTGCTGAAACAACCTCACTTTTTTTGTCCTATGGCAAACACCAGTGGGAGACTGTGAATGACTCTTAATGTAAGATAAAAATATTTTGACTGATATTTTCCATATGGCATGTCATATCCCCACATGAACTCTAAGGAGCGTACTAAGGAACAGAGGGTGTAGTTACTTTCAAATGGTTAGTGTACCACATCATATTTGAATTCAGATGTTAATGTTCTAGCATTTGGACAACAAATAAAATTTGTAATTAATGATATAGAATGATAAGGGATGTTTATGTTCCCTTCAAGTCCAAATCATTTCTGGGTGGGAAGGATATATTTGGTAGCCAGCCAGAGTTTTGTCAATACGAATATCTAAACCAGATGCTTTTCTTGCTCTTCTCCCATGGTTGGATTAATGTGTTCTTCTTTATGCCTTTATCTTTTTTCTTGTAACCTGTAGCTCATGATGCTCTTAAGAATTTTACTGCCAGAGGCATCTATCACGTATTTTTCTCTTGACAGGTGATTATTATATTACTTCAGTGAGTGCGAAAACCCCAGCTCCCCTTTAGCTCCTTTTCTTTGTTCTTGAATCTGCCTTTTCTTAAGTTACTGTGACAAATCATACAACCAGCTTCAGCTGAAAGTTACCAAAGCACAAAGGGGATATAGTAAGTTACATTTGCCAAAGTGACATATCTCCACATTGATGCTCATCAATATTTCTGTCTCCATGGATGGATGTCTGAGTGTTTAGGAAACCTGATCTGGCACGTCCATGTAAAGTAGGGTCTAAAAATCAAAGCAGTGATTTTGTCCCAGATTAGGCAGGGCCTTTTATTTCAGATGGAGAACTTGATCTATGGCAGACCATCACCGAATGCCAAGGGAGCAGCCCTGGGATGGGCTTAACTTAGGGCTGGGGCCAGTTCTGCAATGAGGTGACTCAAGAGTTATTCCGGCATGGGTTTGTCCTATCGACTTGAATGTATGTTTAAATGAATTACTGGTTGAACTTGCTAGTTATGTCAAATACAGTCATGAGTCAATATCTTCCTCGGGCTGATACTTGGCTCTGAGCATGGCTTTGGAAGCAGCTGAGATCCGCAGATAGTGCTCACGGAGGTTGCGATATTTCCAAGGCAGTGCCTGCCTTGGTTTAGATGTAGTCCGGTGCATCTTGCCCTGAAGCAGCAGAATCCAACAGTCATTGTTCATTGTCTATGCTTTGTCACTCTTAGTCAGCAGAACTCACGCTTCATCACCTTCCAAACCAAAAACATACTCATCTTCATCATCATTTCTATATCTGTCACACCACCACCCTCATCTCCACCAGTATTTCCAGCCTAGTCTACCCATTTATCAGCTTCTTCCACAATTGTTTCCATGCTTCCTTCTACATGCCTGGTATGAACTCTCTGACCTCATCCACTAGACTCTGAGTCCTTCTGTATGTAGTCTCTCCTAAAGATGCTTTTCAGCTTGCTTCTTCTATGGGACTGAGTTTACTCCTACAGGAATTAACTTTTGTTCCCATTCTCCTAACCGCTTTCTACTTTGCTATCTGTCCTGAGATTGTGAGTTCACAGAATCACACAGAATCACAGAATGGTTGAGGTTGGAGGGGAAGGGACCTCTAGAGGTCATACAGTCCAACCCCCTTGCTCAGACAGGGTCATCTAGAGCACGTTGCCCAGGATCGCGTCCAGGCAGGTTTTGAATATCTCCAGGGAAGGAGACTCCACAGCCTCTCTGGGCGACCTGTTCCAGTGCTCTGTCACCCTCACAGTAAAGAAGTTTTTCCTCAGGTTCAGATGGGACTTCCTGTGTTTCAGTTTCTGCCCGTTGCCTCTTGTCCTGTCACTGGGCACGACTTGAAGAACAACCCCCTGTTTAGCCTACCAAAAGGATGCAAACACATGCTAAATAATTATGCAAATAGTTTTCAACTGCTTTCATTGTGATTTTTGTTATCATTGGCTTGGTCGGAAGATGAAAAACAGAAGCCAAAGTACCTGTCTGTGAGTAGAGCTGGGACTAGACCCTGAGTTTCCTGATTCCCATTCAGTGTTCAGGGTAGAGCACGACTGTTCTCTGCTATATTCTCTCCTGGAAAGGTTTTATTTACAGAAGCAGAGGCTCCGAAAATTGCATAATTTTGTGCAGTAGTTTCTATTCTGTGCTCAGAGGACCAATTTTTATGTTCAGGCCTTGCTAGCTACATTCCTAGTAAATCAAGGTAAAGGAAAAAACTGTGAACATTAAATACTTCTCTCTACCTAAGAAGAGAAGTTTCCTACCACAAGTTTGCTGTAGTTGCTACCAGGCTGTTCTGTTATTGGGAACAGGAGGGAGTGGCTTAAAAGAAAGCATTTCTTTTAAAATATGGTGCACATTGGAAAGAATCTGCGGAGCCATATGCCTGGGAATTGCATTTGGGCTTGTGTTTGGGGGGCTGTTAATCAAGTGTACTCCAAAGGGAAGGGATTGTGAAGCAGGAGATCTCCTTCTGCCAGCAGTCTGGCTTCTGTCCTGTGCTTGAACAGGGAGATGGCAGAGAGTAGCAGGGCTGGGTGCACCAGAGGCATGGATAGAGGGTTTGCTGAGTGATGCAGCTTGTCCTCTCATGTGCTATCTAGGAACTGACAGCCCACTTTATTTGTCATCGTTTTCTTTCTCTCTTCAGGTAAATCCACCTGGCATCCAGTGGCCACTTTCAACCAGGGCTGAACACGCAAAGCCAAAAGAAGGACAGGGTACAATGCTTTGGGAGGCAGACACACAGGATTTCCTCCCCACTGTCCTTCATTAGATTCTGCCACCACCCAGACTCAGCCCCTAGCAATCACTGTAGGTATAATTTTAGAAAGAACTGGAAGAAGGGAAACCTCTCCTGTAACTTTCAGTTGGCAGAGAACATGGCACCGTGTTTCTGCCTTCTGGCTCTTGACTTTTAGCCCGCATGCCTTGGAAAGGAGAGAAAGGAAAACAGCTAGAAGAAGAGGAAGAGAAGGAAAAGGAGGAAACAGCTCAGGACTCTGTTCTCCAAATCTGCCAGTGATGAGAAGAAGCAGCTGCAGTAGCTGTTCACAGCATTGAGGGGTTGCTCTGATCTCATTTCTGGAACAACAGTTTGCTTTCTAAGAGGTGAGCACAGGAGATTTAAGTGAAGGAAGTGAGCTCTGACCCTCTGTCCAGTATCATCAGACACTGCTTCTGCTGTCATTTCCCTTACCCTGCACTTACGACATTAGGAGGGACTGAACACATGGTAGGAAGGGGCCTGAACAGATCATGCAAAATAGCACGTCCTCCAGTTGCTCAAAGGGACAGTGTGGAACATGGAGCTGGAATGCCATGGATTTGAGGAAAGATTCTCTCTTGAGAGCGAGAAGTTGAGGAGGAACAGGGATATCAGGCAGCCTGGAAGATAGGATACGAAGGAGTTTTGCAAGCAGATGACTTTTGCCAAGTGAGGTGGCTGGTAGGAGGATGAATGCAAAGCTGGAAATTCAGGAGATGTATGCACAGCATTTAGTACTTTTGTGATTTAATCCAAAATCCTTTGCTGTTTGCCACTTTTCATAATGTCCTGGTTCTCATGTCATGTGATTATGTGAGGCTTTCAGCCTTCAATTAAAAATATTTCAGCTGGTTCTTCAGGTCATAGAGAAAAGCTTGGAACATAGAGAAAAGCCATTGGAAAGGCTGAAAGCCCAGGGTGCAGACTGAATCCCTTTGAGATAATCTGTTGGCCTCCTATGGGTGTTGGATGTATTGTGGTTTTTTGAAGTCACCAAGACCCAGTCAGAGCTGCAGCACGTATTTGGGTTTTTAGGCCACGTATTTTACCCAAAACGTGGTAGATCTGTGGGAGGAAGATGGAACAGCCCAGAAATGGCATCATTTTGTCACATGGAAGACAGTGATTCAGATATTTCACAGGTACATGGACTTCTGCAAAGATGCAGCTCATGACAAAATTGGCAGTTTAAAAAAACAACTTGATAGTGTCAGTCCCCTTATCATCGTGCCAAATGGTCATTTTGTTTTGCCACACAAGCAGAGGGTTCAAGCACTCAGTTGGCCTAAGGAAACTTAACTGTCATCTAAGGAAATCAGATTTGAGGAAAAAGCATTGTATATGAAGCTTTAATTGACATCACTTGATCCGGTCTTGTTCTGTGAATAGAAGACCTCAGGCTCTAGGGATGCTAATCTGGCACTTCTTGCTGACCTTAAATTGACCTGTGTAATATAAACCAACCTAATGTACAAGTGACACAATTTCTGCTGAGAAAGTGTAGCATGTGCCAAAACTGTTAATATTAAAATTTTTTGGTCTATTTAATCTAGTATCTGAAGAGAATGGAGGGGAAAAGTGCTGTACAATATCTTCTCTGCAGCGAAGTGCTAGAAAAGAAAATGTAAATCCATGAATATGACACAAACACCCCTTCTGTTAACACATGCTCACAGAGACTTGTTCAATTTGCCAAAAGGATAGTTAGCCAGCCTACAGTGTGTATATATGTAATTTACTGAAAGGAAGGGACAGGTCTAATTTATGCACTTGACCCTTACCCCATGGTTTACCTCAATACTTTTCAATGTGCAAATTCTGTAAAACTTACTGGGAGTAAGAATGTCAGTTCACGCCTGGCTCTGTGGATATGCTGAAAGAGTCACTCACACGGATGATGACCAGTGTTTTATTTTACTTTGTGGATGGGCCTTAACCAAACTCTCTTGATCCAAACAGCTCTAAATTTGGGAGGTTTTGGCACCCCAGTGCAGATATGAGTCAATAGTTCTCTCTGTTCCAAAGAAGTATTAGGTTACAAAGGTGGGAGCGATTATGTAAATGCAATAATATAAAGGAATAGCTATATTAATACTTATGTTAAGCCTCTGAGCTAGAGGTTTGCCAAGGCTTAAGTGGACTCAGGATGAGCTGGACATATCTAATTAATATAAGTAATGTGACTTTTCTTGAACAAATGTGACTTCTCAGGGCACATTACAGCTGTTGAAAGCTCCAGCTCTGCTGCATCTGGTCCTCAGAGGTTTAGAATTCTGTATTTCAATGTTGAAGCTTGCTCTTATTTCTGATTTTGTTTGATTCTAAGTAAATGGGTTCTGATTTTCAGTGCTTTTGTCAGAGAAGTAAAAAATATTGGTATGTGTTATTGGTGGATATACAAGACCTAGAAAAAAACAGAATATGAAGTTAAAAAATTATGTGTCCACATTCAAAGCAAGTGCATTGGACCACCCATCTCTTTCTTTATATCATTGCCATATTCATAGTTTCTACATCACGTAGAAGTCTTTTAAGACTTCCCTCTGTGTAGCATCTGAGTTTCTTCCATTGATACCACTGTTAACAGCTAACATGTTCTGTTTCTTCTCTCTCTTGTCCAGAGGGAAACTGTGTGCAATTTGTCATGGGGCTTGGGCATTGGCTGAAACAAGGCGGGTAGAAGACTAATGCCTTGAGCTATGCAGAGTTATACCTTGCACTTTTAAGAAGTACTGTGGGTTTAGGTCAAGTTTGTGATTCTGCTCCGTTTTAGGGAAAGGAAACAGGATCTCATTTCACAGTCTTCTGCTGAACAGTCTTATCAGATGGCTTTCTCATGGTGTCTAAGAGTGAGAGTGGTTGATCACGGTCTTTCTGAATGCCAAAAGAAGTTTCTACTTTTGAGGGGGAAAAAAAGGTTGTTTTACTGTAAATAGCTTTTGATACTGTAAATAGCTTTTGATACAAAAAAAGTCATGCATTACAGATGGACCCGAATCAAAACTGAGTCTTTACCACTCCAACTTTGGAATGAGCATGTGAAATTGGCAGTTCAGCCCAAATTAACATTACCTGAAGAAGAAATAGCAAGTACCGTTACAGAGACTTGTAGTGAATTTTCCTTCGTAGAACTGAAATGCATGAATGGATCAGAAGTGCAGATCACAAATGGTAATTTTCTACAGTAAAATGTTGAACCAGGGGGGATAGTAGCTTTAGGGACAAGTCACCAGTTACAACTGGCCCTTAATCTGCTCTAAAATGTTAGTATCTATATTTCTGAACTATTCTTTATTATTATTTCAATGTTTTGTGATTCACCTATCATTATCTCTCCGCTCCAGCATGTTTCCTGAGAGACTGGGATTCAGCCCTGGAGGATAAGAAGGGGAGAAAAACAGCAGCACCGAGAAAGATTATTCCCATCTCTAATATGGCTCCGCAGACCGGGAAGGATAGGCAGTTCCCTCCAGTCCCCCAGTGTTCTTCTGAGGTTCACCATGGTCTCCACCTCCACTCACTGCATAGGACCCCTAACTGGAAATGTCCTTTCCAACCCAGTTGTTCCTTGCTGCTGTGAACCATGCTGGTTATGTGAAAGAAGAGGTTTGTGCCTCTTTCTTTGCTGTTTGAAATGCAATGCATTTTGAATTACTCACACATGGAAGTAGTAGGCAGTATAATGCAAGCATAGAGCAAGCACAATGTACTACATGAGGATCAGCTTAACATGTTGGATCAGTGAAACTTTGCAGCATAGCACAAACCATTTTTTCTTTTTCACAGCTGTTCTCCCAAGCATTTTAAGCATACATTCTCCCTCAGCATGCAGGAGATTTACGTATTTCACTTCCATTTACATGGTAGGAAAGATCCTTCTCACTTGCAGATTTGTTCTTTTAATAGGCATCCAGCACAAATGGGAATTAAGTACATATGTGTGTCCAACAGAGAGCAGACCAGAACCAGCTGTAGGCACAAATAACTGCTTAGGAGGCCCATTTTTTTGTGCTTATTTGCTAAATCACAGGATGGCCAAATCTTCCTTTTTAGGAAAGGGAAGAAGAGGAAAGATGGAGGACCATCTCCAGATTGTATCAGCCATGAAAGAGAAAAGTCAGCAGGGAGAGAAAGCTTTGCATGAGGTTCTCCTCTTCCTACTGGAGCAGCTGGAGCAAATAAGGTTCATCATGGGCAAAAGTGAGGGTTTTTTTTGCCTCCACTCGGATATGGAAGAGAAGTTAGGATGTTTCAGGCCCCAACTCAATGCTGTGATAACTTCTTCATGTGACTTACTAATTGAAGTCAGATCCTTCAAAATACTGAACGTCTGCAGCACAGAGATGCTTGTCTCAGTCTTGTCTATCTTACACTCAAAACCCTTTCAAATCATAAATGTAAATCAAATGTATTACAAATGGTAGAAGAACAATGTGGATTTTGGGAGGGATGAGAGAGACAGGGAAGGCTCTGTACATGTTGTCACTATCAGGAAAGGCAGAGGTGAGCCTTCAGCGTTGTATAATGACAACGCACTTCAGCAATGTCCTTCTAGAACTAGCCATGCAAAAAGTTAAATCTTAAAAGACAAAAGAAAACGATATTAGGAGAAAAGAAGTGGCAATGACTTGAGCCCTTAATTCAATGGCCAGTGGTATCTCGGAGTGAGCAGTTTCCCAGAGGATTATCAGAGATGTGAAATGAATTGTAAGAGCTGCTCTACAGGCATTTGTGGGCACACACACCTGCTTACAGCAGGGGAAAAGACAGTGCGTAAATGTCTGGAATATTGCATAAAAGCTGTCTGGTGGACTAGGCAAAGCAATTAAAATCCATCTCGCTTAAACGAACCCTGAGTGCAGGTCAAACAAATCTAATTTTTATTGTTCCTTAAGGAGATGCCTGTATAGGAGACAAAAGAGGGATGCAGCCGTCAGGTTAAAAAATCAAGATGCCTTTACAAAATTAAATGTAGCACAATAGTGCTACAGCAAGCTAGATAAATGATATATTACAGCGATGGTTTAAAACTAATTGATGACTAATGTTGTAATGCATTCGTAGCTACACTGATCTATTATATATCTTGGCCAAGCTGAAGGGACACTTCAAGGAGAAAAATTGCTAACTGTTTTAACCTGATGGAACTTGGGGAAAAAATAGTTACTTTAAGAGATAAATGGAAAGGTTGTGACCTCCTAATGTACAGCTGGGTCTTACAATGCAAAATCAAATTATCATTAAACAGAATGTGATCTGTGATGGAATTAAAACAACTACAAACCAGAAAAGAAATTTCTCTGGAGAAATACAATAGTGCAGTTGGAGCTGGGACCATCAGCTAAAAAGCAGTAGGAACTGCCTGGCTAAAGAACTGGTGTAATAAGTTGGTAGGGAAGAGTTTTGCTTTAAAATTAAAATATTTTTAATTGGCAACTGCAGGAAAAATGTAAGCATATTTACTGCAATTTACATATGTAAGCCATTCTGTAAACTTTGGTTAATTAGTGTATAAATAATTAACAATTTACCCTAAATTCTGAGTAAAATGTTTCTGGCTCTTGGATGGGAGACAGGAAGTCTCATTTTCCCCTCCTCATTTTTGTCATGCCTGAGGCTCATACCCGTTGGATTTTACCCTTATGGTTGGAATTCAGAGATGTCAGTCAGGCTCTGCTTATTTTCACATCTAATTCATGCAAAAACCAGGTTTCCTCCTGAGGCGATATACTGGCCCAGATTTGCTTCAAAGTTTGGCCTAGGTTCAGTGAATGACTCACTATAACTAAGGTACATCCATCTTCCTGGCTGAAATGCAACATGGGAAGTGATGTCAAAAAGCAGATACCCCCATAGAGCTGGAGTTTACAGATTCAGGACCTTAGAAACCAAAAGTTATAGTTTGTTTCATCCCCTCATTTCCTGTTACCCAATATTAAGGACATTGAGTGGGTGTAATAAGAACATCATTACTCAACCCAGAGAACCCGGGTGGTTTTTTGCATTCTACACAAGCTGGAAGTGCCTGGGATACAGCGCTGGAAGCTGTGCTAGGAGGAATTGTGGTCAGCAAGCCTTCAGGGTCATAGGGCTCTGTGTTGCTGTCGCAATGTCATATGGAATTAATATGGCAATGGGCTACAAATGAAGATAACACTTACGGACCACTGCTAAAATATGGATTACCTTGAAAAGACCATGACTAAAAGGCCAAACGTATCACTGAGATCTTTTGCTTTACTGATAACCTCTGAGTTATGAGTAAATGAGTTATAACCTCTTAATAAAGAGAGCAATTTTGCAATGACAGCCCTCAGCACTGGTGGCACTTGTATTTTCTCCTCGTTGAGAACAAGTTAATGTAGCAAGAACACTGCCAGATGGCAATATTGTCTGAGAGCAATGAGGAATAGAGGAGTACATTGCTCTATGATAAATTAACCTTCCAGTGAGAAGGGAAATGTTTGCAATACCAAATTGCAAATATTTTCTGCTGTGAAGGGATTGATGTTCCAAAAACCCCAAAGCCTCCATATATTTAACCTGCTGAATGTTAGGCTTCCTCCTTTGCGTTCATTCAGTTGTGGTTTTAAGCTCAGTACAGTCAGCAGTTTGGAAAATAGTTCTTCAGCTCAAGATGGAGCAGCTGAAGTCTTAATTCTGGAGGTCCTTTCTCTTAAAGGAGAACAATATTCTTGGCTCAAAATTTGAAGTTATTCAGATCTTGGTACTGGTGCCAGTTTGCAACGACATTAGAAAATCAGTGACACAAGTATCACAGAGCTAATTTAGAAAATGTACTTTCTCAAAGGATGATAAACAGTAGCATCCATGGATCTATCTGGGATTTCTTTCCCTTCACTAGCATAGTAAAACAGAGCAAGTGTAACAAATATTTTTTGTCCCACATCAAGCTGACCTTCTCCTAAAGCTCAGTGCTGAGTTAGTAATTTTTGAATGGGCATTTCTAAGGCAAAAAATGCAGACAAAATAGCTTTAGATGAAACTTTTAGCTGATAGTTGATTTAAAAGCAATTAAGTAAAGGGAGAAAAACTGACTAAATTTAAAGCATGGCCCTAGGCAGTTAGATTGACCGTAATAAGGGGGTGGAAAGGATGAGATAGTGTTCTGAAAAACTTGCTTTGTTCAATTAAAGCTTCTCCTCTCTCCCTCCAGTAACTCTTTCAGGGTTTACTTTAAGAATTTTGGGAGGAAACTGAGTTACGGCAGTAGACTATACACATGAATAAGGGTGGACAGAATTAAAGCATCACTGCCTTTGAGGGCAACAAAGGAGAGGAATGAAGGATCACATCAGTAGATTAAAGAAAAAAAAAAAAAAGCACAGAGAGGACAGGGTATAATTCTATTCCAGACTGCTAGGGATATGGGATATTTAAACCTCTTTCTGCCAGCAATCGTTTTCCACTTTTGTACTTGTATCAGGATGGATTTACCACAGCACTCAGAGGCTGTAGACTACTCTGGCCTCCCTCCCAAAATACTGCCACCAGCTTGGAGGGTCTGTATAGCCCCTGTGCATCCAGCAACAACATGGGGCCTAGTCTGCGGCGAGCCCTCTGTGGTGGAGCCTGGCGCGGCGGCCCCGGAGCCAGCTGCCTGCCTTCTCACCCTCAGCCCCTGGGTTCGCATCGAGAGAAATGGCTGCAGCCCATAGAATACTTATTTGCCATTCTGACTTTCCAGTCCTGTATATTTCAATCAGTTGACTTCTCGGGGTGGGGGGGTGGTGAGGGTGGGAAGACATGTCAATCAAAAAATTCCAGATATTTCTGTGATTAAAACATACGTAGGTCGGGAAGGTGTTCTAAATTCAGATCATGCTCATAAACAATGATCCTGGCAATTCTTTGAGAGGGTAGAATTACATAACCAGTCTTGTACTCCTCCTACTTTTGAAAACAATCATCAGGCAGAAAATATCCTCAAAAAAGTTCAGTTACAGTTTATTTCCTTCCTCAACATTTTATCTTGCTTCGTAACAAGACTTCCTTGCTGTGGCTAGGATAGAAATGGCAAAAAATGTACAGTATTTCTGATATTTGTGTTGTCTGTGCTTTTTATGTCACTTTCACTTTTTTAAACTGGTCAATGAATTGGAAAGCTGAATAAAGCTGTGATAGTTTTATCATTGCTTCAGAAAGAAAAACTGTAAAATCCAAAGGTTAGCATCTGGAATGTGATTTTAAAAAACGCTTAAAGCACTTTCCTTCTGCTGCTTGTGCTTAACGCTGGAAAGAGCTCTGAATCCGCAGCTATCTTGTATGCCAACAGGCTGTTTAACTTTTGCACAGATATTTATATATATATTTTAAATTACTGATAGCATTTGCTTCATTTGCTTTAAAATAAGGCATCATGATTGTCAGATCAGTGTAAGAATGCAAATAGGAAATTTAAAAAGTACCTTTGCTGGTTATATTCTGTTTAGCATCTTTTTCCATTTTCTGTTTAATATCAAGTCCATAGCCTAAAGGAGATTTTGATGTGATACACTGAATATTGTAAAAGATACAGTGACTTGTGATGCAGTGACTGATTGTGACACACTGACTTGTTATTGTTAAAGAGCTCAGCAATGGGC